TCCGAATCCAGGCTGCCAGTAGCAGAGCTCGCGCACTTAACTGCTAAGCCACGGGGCCGGCTCCTGGGCAGAGGATCTTAACAAACATTTTTCCAAAGAAGGTATACAGATGGCCAACAGGCACATGAAAAGTTGCTCAACATCACTAATTATTAGGAAAATGCAAATCAAAACCACAGTGAGATATCACTGCACACCAGTCAGAATGGCTAAAAACCAAGAAATGGGGCCAGCCTGGTGGCATAGTGGTTAAGTTTGGCACGCTCCACTTCAGTGGCCTGGGTTTGGGGGTTTGGATCCCAGGCACAGACCTACGCCACTCATGAAGCCATGCTGTGGCGGCAACCCACATACAAAATAGAGGAAGATGGGCATGGATGTTAGCTCAAGGCCACTCTTCCTCAAACAAAAACAGGAAAATTGGCAACAAGTATTAGCTCAGGGCCAATCTTCCTCACCAAAAAAACAAAAACAAGAAATAACAAGTGTTGGAGAGGATTTGGAGAAAAGGGAAACCTTGTACACTGTTGATGCAAATGTGCATTGGTGCAGCCACTATGGAAAACAGTATGGAGATTTCTTAAAAAATTAAAAATAGAAATACCATGTGATCCAGCTATTTCACTTCTGGGTATTTATCCAAAGAATATGAAAACACTAATTTGAAAAGATATATGCACCACTATGTTCACTGTAACATTATTCATAATCAACAACAGTTGGAAACAACCTAAGTACCCATCAAAAGATGAGTGGATAAATAAGACATGATGTATATATACATACACACACACACAATGGAATACTACTCAGCCATAAAAAAGAATGAAATCTTGCCATTTGTGACAACATGGATGGACCCTGAGGGTATTATGCTAAGTGAAATAAGTCAGATGGAGAAAGACAAATACATATGACTCTTATGTGAAATCTAAAAAAACAAAACAAATGAACAAATGAAACAAAATGAAAACAAACTCATAGATACAGAGAACAGATTGGTAGTTACCAGAGGGGAAGGGGGTTGGGGGGTGGAGGAAATGGGAAAAGGGGGTCAATCATACGGTAATGGGTGGAAACTAGACTTCTGGTGGTGAGCACGTTGTAGTATATACAGATGTCAAATTATGATGCTGTACACCTGAAACTTATATAATGTTATAAACCAACTTTACCTCAATAAAAATAATAAATTATCTGGGTGTTCACTTCTGGCCAGGATGGAGTAACAGAGACTGAATTTATCCTCCAGCTGAAAAATGGACAAAATGTATGAAATGATGGTTTCAGGACACTGGGCACCAGGCAGTGAAGGACACTGATCTCTGAGAAACGAGAAACAAATGGAAATGAGCCCTATAACAGCCTCAGCTTGCTGCCTTGGAAGAGCTTCCAGGCTCTGGCACAGACAATGGGAACCAGGTAGAATCCTGTGGACTCCCTCAGTTGAGGAGATAGGGCTGAGATTCCAGGGGCACCGAGACATTTGGAGTTTACAGGAAAGTGTAGTGGAGAAGGGAGCTATGCAGAAAGAGAGCTCCAGAGATCTGCAGAGGATTCCACTCAAGTATTTGGCTGGTTGCTCATTAACACACGGTGCCTGTGGAGAGGCTGCCTTAAGCTGGGGAAAGACCCCTCTGAAAGGTTTGGAAGTAACTCTCTGGTGTGGACATATGGCCAGCAATGATGCCTGTAGCCAAGAGCCAGAAAACATGGTTCATGGAGCACTGGATAAGTGCACAGAGGAGTCTTACCTCAGAAGTGGGAAATGGTTAGCCTTATACTGAGCACTGCTTCAGTCCCACCTAACAAATCTTAAAAGCAAAACCAGAAAGGATCAAACTGTTTCCAAATAACTTGACTGGATCTCAGAACAAAGCTCAAGAATATTTGTAGGAATACGAAAACATTCCTCAACAAGATAAAATTCATATTGTCCGACATCTAATAAAAAATTACTTGGGGCTGGCCCTGTGGCATAGTGGTTTAAGTGCGCACTCTCCGCTGCCGGCAGCCCAGGTTCGGATCCCGGGCGCACACCAATGCACCGCTTGTCAGGACATGCTGTGGCGGTGTCGCACATAAAGTAGAGGAAGATGGGCATGGATGTTAGCCCAGGGCCAGTCTTCCTCAGCAAAAAGAGGAGGATCAGCATGGATGTTAGCTCAGGGCTGATCTTCCTCACACACACACAAAAAAATTACTGAGCCAGCCCTGATGGTCTAGTGGTTACAGTTCAGCACCCCCACCACTTTGGCAGCCCGGGTTCACTTCCCAGTCGCAGAACCACACCACCTATCTGTCAGTTACCATGTGGTGGTGGTGGCTCACAGAGAAGAACTTACGGCTAGGATATACAACTATGTATTGGGACTTTGGGGAGAAGAAAAAAAAGAGAGGAAGATTGGCAGCAGATATTAGCTGAGGGTGAATCCTTCCCTACAAAATAAAAAATTACCATGCATGCAAAGTAACATGAAAATGAACATGGAATTAGAAATCAATAATAAAATAGTATCTGGAGACTCCTCAAGCATTTGGAAATTAAATAACCCACCTCTAAATTGCTAAAGGGTCAAAGATGAAATCACAGGAATATTAGAACATATTTTAACTGCATGATTATGGAAATAATATATCAAAATTTGTGAGATGAAGGCAAGCAGTGCTTACAGGAAAACTTATAGCTTTAAATACTAATGTTAGAAAAAGAAGTGTGGGACCGAGTCCCCTCCCCACAGCAACACGGCTTCCCTTCCTCAGCTCAGCGACAGGGGTTTCCCCTCAGCCGCCGCCGCCGGCCGAGCCCCGCCGCGCCCGC